ATCTACTACTAACCTGAATTTTTATTAAATAAACGAGAAACCACTAGCAAAGAGAGGCACTAGACTTCCAATCACTTAACTCTACTTACATAAATTTATTCCCCTTTAATTTCATATAAACTGAGTTCTTTGCACTTGTTGTTTTATTTGAATAATCAAATTAATTCAAACAAGAAATTACTCGACTCTCACACTAAATACATGAAATTAAATAAGATTATTAGTAGAGAAGGAAGATCAATGAACTTCTATTACGTGAACTCCAATTAAGTAAACTATTGTTATTATAAATAATATAACAAACAACTATGATTATGAACGATATAAATTATTATTATTATTATTGACTTATTTTCCTATAGGTTCACATGAGGAATTGTATTCGTCAAATTAGTTCAAATTAGAGGTTATTTGTACAGAATTTGCTCTAAATGTTATTTCTAAAATTGTTATTTTTCAGTTTCAAGTAAAACGTGTCCAAGTCTAATCTATAGTCGTAGAATGATTCACTCGATGTCTCATCCTAATCGCAGAAACGCTCACGCGAGAATGGAAATAGAGTGCCACCGCCCCCGCGATTTCGAATCCACGACACGAGATCCAGAAACCGCTCACACTTACTAATAATCGGCGATCATGCAGAATGGATCGTTCATTTCAGGAAAATTTCGCGAGATATTTATAGCGTGTTCCTGCAACAAACGTAGCGGCACAATTTCCACGTCTGTTTGCTATCAAACAGTTAACAGTCGAGGTTACGTCATGGTTTCTCGCGTTACAACGGCTATTCATAGGATACATCTGTCCATAATCGTATAATAAATTGAATGAACGTTTCGATGATCAATTAATAATGCAACGAGCATTTGAATGTTCCTTTCATTTTTTTCGTTTACGTTCGTAAAGTAAAATATTTAGACAGAGTCAACTTGATCTATCAAGTTCACGAATGGTTCCTCAAGTTTGGAATTTTGGAAGTTCAGAGACGTGATTTGGAGCCAGAAACATTGAGAGTGAAATGATTCACGATTGAGTTCCTTGAAACTATGAACGAAATGTAGTTAAATTCTTGACAGAAGTTTTAGGATCTACAGCTTTCTCGAAAAGAATTTTCACCAAGTTTCCAGCAGATTCGACGATACATAATTGTTACATAAAATATAAATATGTTCAATCTATCATTGATGATCATTTTTCGATCCATCCTTCATGTTTTTATTTTCTTTGTGCAATTTTTAATTTCACTCGAGTGACAAATTGTCGCCTCTCTTATAAAGTATAGAAAAAATATTTCTAAAATATATAAAACTCTATATTTTCTTTTACGTTTCTTCCACATTTTTTTGTATCAGTGTTGCTAATAACTCGTACTTCGTTAGAAGTATTAAATTTCAAAGGAAATGGTCCCAAATTTGATTTTTATTTATGTTTGATTATTACATAATCTCTTTTCTTTTTATTGAATTGAATTCGGCAAGATTCAAGCTCTCAATCGTTTAACAAATGGTAGATATCGAACAGCAGTTTTAGTCATCAAATTCTGAATATTTGTTACGTTATTGTTACCTCTAAATAGCTAATTAAACAGAATCAGACTAAAACGCAAGAATTTAAAACATCGCGAGATACTCCGTATACTCCAACATACTACAGTCATTGTCTTCTCATTGAATAATTACTATCTTTCGACGTTAATTTATTGAAATGAATATCGATCGTCGAATATCGGCACAAATATTTTTCTCGTATGCAAATGACACATCGAACACTTGATGCCATTTATAATTACAAATTTCTTATTTTTACACGTCGTTTTACTCTTTTCATGTTCTCGTTTGGCATTCGAAAAAAGAAATTATAATTAATCTGATGTACGTGCTGAAGGTGCAGAAGTATATATCTAAACTCCCGAGGGTAGACAAATCCTGATTCGTGTCACGCAAAACGTATTAATTATACAATTACTTTAAAAAAAAAGAGTGTAATCGATTCTCTCGTTATACGTAATAGAATAGGAAATTTGAAGATGCAAAAATATACAAAATAGTTTAGGGGAAATTCCCCTATTTCTTTCGCTACTTCAGTATAGTAATGACAATCACCTTGAAGCTTCGTATTATCCGCAACGTGTTATTCGCAATTACTATAATTGGGAAATTGCTTAGAAAATTTGGAAAAAATCGAAAAATGCAGAATGTACAAAAATATATAAAACACGGAAAGTTGAGTATTTAGTGCAGTATTTAGTAGCGAAAATAAATTTTAACTCTGTTCGTAAAAAAATATGAAAAATTTGCTATGAACCATTGGAAAAATTATTACAATTTTCATATAATCGTAATAATTACGAGTAACAAAAATGTGAAAACTCTGCTTATATTTTGTCTATTGGAGAAAATATTGAACCTTTACCTTTAACAAGTGAGTGCAAAGAACAATTGAAAAAGTATGGTACAATATCTCTATAAGTTTTTCCAATTAATTTAGAAATGACTGTCCTGAGAATTTTCTATATAAACAATGACTATGTATTATCAAATATTGTATTATAAAATACCTATATTGTGTATATATATATATATATATATATATATATATATATATATTTATTTATTTATTTATTTATTTATTATACCTATAATTTATATATATATTTATTTATTTGTTTATTTATTATACTTATAATTTATACATATATTTATTTATTTATTATACTTATAATTTATATATATATTTATTTATTATACTTATAATTTATATATATATGTTTATTTATTATATTTATAATTTATTTGTATAAATGATGAAACAGAATCCTGAATTACGTACTAAATTGTTTCTACATGCACGTATTGCATAACTACGACTCAGTCATTTAAATATATTCCATATTCGTTGAAAACAAACCAGCTTCTTTTCCAGACTGTCGTCTATTTCCGTAAAAAAATTTTCTTAATAAAATGCAAAACTTACACCTCATAAATATCACGCGATCATTTCCCGACGTTATGTTTCATAACGATCGTACAATATAACAACTTTTCTTTTCTTACTCTTAATTTAATTAGCTCTTTGAAATTATAAAATACTAGAAGAAGAGTGTTGAGATAAAATTTTTATCATAAGAGAAATAAAAGATATTAAATAATTTTAATAATAAAAAAATAATAATAAAAAAAATTGAAGCTAGCGTTAGTTCTTTGAAATAATAACACAAATAAAATGACATTATACATATGAGAATTTTGAGATCAAAATTGTACTATAAAAATTATACGTCATATCTCAAAAGCATCTCATATTTTATTTTAAATATTACTTTTAAAACGCATATTATTTTAAGCGTATACTTTGAGTTAAAAAACACAATATTTTATTCATACCGTAAGAAAACGTAATTTGAAGTAATAATTTGAAAGATACGAATAAATGTCAAGTGTTTTTCACAATTTTTGATATAAATATGCACTCAACGCTTTCGAAAAAGGTTGATGACTTCAAATTATACTCTTGTTTAGACATGTAATGATAGATTTATCAGTTTCTAAATTTTTTTTAAAATTTTACTTTGCCTTTAAAAATAAAAGTCCATGGACAAAATATTCATTTGTTTGTACTTTGTGGTGTGTAAAAATATTTCGTAATAAATTTTCTCTGCCGCGCGTTTCACCGTATTTTTCTGTCTTTCAATAGTACACAAAAATAAATTCCCTACCACGCATTTTATTTTCACAGCCTCTGACAAAAGCGTGGAAAATCACTTCTCGACTGCACGTTTCATTTAATGGTAAAATTTCACTATTTCTGCTGCATACAAAATATTAATTAAATAGCGTTAACGTGATACTTTATCTGCAATTGTTTTCAATTAATTTATATTAATAATTTCTATCTTTTAACAGACTACAAAAGAAAATTCCATAGATTCGTTTAACATCGTTACAGCTACGTTATAGATTATATAATACTTTAATATTTTTCCATCGTTATATCCAGACAATGTAATATTACAAAATTTCAAGAAAGTAAAGTATTTACAGTATTACGATTAATGGAATATTTTACATCTCGAATTTACCAAGAATTTTCAATTTTATTATATTTTATTACCTAATTGGTGTCAATATTTTTCTGCAAGTGAATTAGAAACTTTTTTTCCACGTCATATTCGTTAAAATCCTGTGATCGTTGATAAAACGATCTTGAGTGATTTAAAGATTTCTACCCTGACCCAGATAACTGATAGGAGCAATAATAGTATTCAATTTCATGCAACAGGCTTACATCTTAATATGCATTTGACACATTTTAGATAAGGTCCAATTTTCATTTGTAACGACGTAAGTCATACGACTTGCGTTGAATAATATCGTCGCAGTGTCCAACTAACACGAACGCGATGTGAAAGAGGACAATACTCTAGGAAATGAATGTACTAACAATAAGTACATTCTACATTTTCACAGGAGAAACACAACGCACAATAAGAGAAAATACTTGGGTTTAAATATAAAAGTTGTAAGAAGAAATCGATATATCGTAAAACGTGAAACCTGCAATATATATAAATATCAAGAATTCCGTTCTCCAACTTTCACAAGTTTTGCTGGACGTGTGAGCAAGATGTAATCGATTCGTAATTATATTTTCATAAATGAAATGGCAATTGCTATGCGAGAAAACAATTCACAATAAATGTTAATAATGCGATCATCTCCTATTTTTAACAACTACTATATAAACCTCAAACTGCAATGAATTATTTACGCTAGATATGCTTGCTTGAATTCTCAAAGACACAGAAGAGACACAGTTAGATCACGGGCTAAAGTGTTAAAAAAAATTTCCGTTTCAAAAAACAGTGTCTAATTTTGTAATCTCGAAACGTACGTCGAGAATGCAATTATTTACAATTTCATGCACACACACACACACATACATACGTCTGACGATAAGAATCGTTTGCAATCATTCGCAATAGATATGGATGAAAGCATTACCGGATACGTGATCCATAGGCTTCTCCAATCCGTGCATAGTGTATGCCCAACGATTGTTGTCGACCGGCGCGACGAGGAACATTCTCAACACGCAAAAGCGGAACAGCTGCGCTCGCGGTGGAAACGATATTTCCCACGCATTCAACGCGATTACTTATACCGATCCTCCGCGACGAACACGAAGTTGAACTGAAAACGTCTCGTCGAGTTCGACGAATTACAGGGATGTATGTTTGCAATCACGTTAGTCGCGATAGAATTCTCGTTGAAAGCCGCGCTCGTACAGGTGCATTCACCTTTGGAAACTCACGCTGGTGGAAAGAGAGAGAAAAAAAAAAAAACAGGAAAAACAAAAGAGCGGTCGCTCTACGTTATATGAGAAGACTGGCTTGCTAAAAGACGAGGCCGAGGAGCGTGTTCAAATTAACGAAGACGACTGAACGCGAGCACCGGCGCTACAGACTGCAGAACTCTCTCTATCGTCTCTCTCTTTTCTACATGCCCCCCTCTCCTGCGCTCGCTCGAGGCTACTACCACGTTCTCACACATTGGCTTCCATCTTTTTCTTTCTCTCTCTCTCTCTTTCTCGCACGTTCAAAACCAGCGAGCCCCTCGTTCCTATGTTTCTACGTTCTCGCGGTGGATTTATCTGAAGCTCTTTCATCCGTTCGAAAGTAACCGTCTGTCTTGCTCGAACGTTCTATACACAATGTTCACATATTTCTGAGGATTCTGCTCTTTTTTTTTTTCTTCGCGAAACGTCCTCGTTCGTTTCCCTTTCTCGCTCATTCCTTAACCACCGTACACACCGAAATTTATCCACGAGATATTGGAAATTTTCACGTATGCTACGATGCTACAAATTGCGATATATAATGGTCTCTTGTTTGATGTCTCGTACAACTGATAATGCGAGATCGTTTCTACGTTGTGTAACTGCGTACGTACCTTTATGATACGCTCGCGCTATCCTTCTCTTACGTTCGCCGCATTTTTTTGCTATTTTTATTCCACGTTTCGTGCACTTTGACTGTCTTCCTCTTACTTATATTTATCTTTCTCGATGCTCTTTTTCTCCTACACGTTATTTTCTTCATCTTACCGATCTATTTTCTATGTTTTAATGATACAAAACATTACAATTTTCTCTCTCTCTCTCTCTCTCTCTCTTCACATACACGCATGCACGCACACATGTTTTTTTTATTTTCATATTCCCATCCAGCTCCCACCATTCTTTCCATTCCCCTTACGCACAGTACACACATAACCCCCCACTCCCTTGCATCTGCGCTCTTCTTCTTCGTCTACCTGTACGTTGCACAGCTCCCTCTCTCCCTGTTCAATCGTAGTTTCTCGATTTTTCTGTTCTTCTCGTTCCTACGCAACGCCATGCCTGCAACGTGGATTCTCCGTCCTCGTTTCATTAGCGCCAGCGGATTCTCCGCCAGCTCCGTTCATTCGCTACGGGACCCCCACTATCAGGATAGGGTCACCTTATTCGATCAAAGAAAAAAAACTTCTATCACTCGGTGAGCACGTGCTCGTCCGGGCCCCTCACCCCGCGACACCGCGCCGCTGCATGCCAGCTCACCAGCGCAGCGCGCGTTTCCAACTTATCGCTCGCCGATTCTTCGCATGATTTCTTTTCTTTTTTTTTTTTTTTTTCTGTTTGCCAAACGCTGCACGATACCGCGTATTATTGAGAAACGTTGCAAATCTAATAATAATCGGAAACGTTTTGTAAATTTCGGCGGACATTGAGCACATTTGAAAGTTCAGACACTTTCGGTATCTCGGTTGCGTGATAGGGAGAGAGATTTTTCACGTGGCCGCTGTTATTGCGCGTCGTCAAGAGTTTTAAGCCTGGCTGACGTGTTCGCCGATTTTCCACAGGCGTAATTGTTTATTGATATTTCCGTTTGATAAAACGGTGTCGTAAATAATCACAGCTTAAATAAGATATTATCTTTGGATGGTGACACGGAATTAAATAACGGCTTTCGACTTGGATTGGGAAAAATTGAAGTACGTGCGTGCTACGTTTCTTGTTTTATCAGTTGGAAATTTATTTGCGAATTTTCCATTCACGTTAGAGGTGTAGTTTCGGAAATCATTCGCACTCGAATCATCAACGATTATACATTATGATTAGATCAGCGTTAACGTACGTGCTACGTATATGTCAATCTACGACAGTGTTTTTTTTTTTTTTTTTTGAATTGCAAATTTCTAGAATATTTCTTACCAGACATATAATTCCACCGGTCTATAAGATATCACAAAATCAATTTACTGTTCTTCATTTTCCATATTTAACAACAGAACTGTCAGAGTGATCGCTTCATGGAACATAATATTTATAAATAAAAATTTATAAATATTATATTATAAATGCAAGCTTTAACTAGTTAGAGTCGTTATTTCAAAAAGAATTTTTAGTTTCGGTGGAAAATTCACTGAAACATCTGTACATACGGAAGATGGAAAACAAAAATCCAGGGTTTCTTAGGTTGGACCCAAATTAAGAACAAAGCTAGATTTTTCCATCTTTATCCAAGGGCTGCCCTTCGAGTTCCCTATCTCTTTGTATAGTGAGCAAGACAGGACCCTTCCAAGTGTCCAGTACTTTTCCACTACTTTCACTCTGGCATTTCTGTCCTGCGCAGCATATTTACATACGTATAGGCAAGGTAACAAAATGGAAGTAGAGAAATGCGCAGGCTCAACGCTAGATCGATGTAGGACACAACAGTTACAACCGATAAATAATTTATTTCATGCAATCAACGATTACTTATTGCCATTTTTCTCCAGTCTCGATACATTTCTCTCTTGTACGATATTTTATTGTGAATATGTTTTCAAATACATTTATTTCAATATATACCATATTTGATAATTTAAATGCAATATTATATATTTTATACGTGAAATGTCCGATTTTTAATGGTAACTTTAAACGAAGATAATATTAATCGAAATAAAAGAATTATTACGATCTACATATATGTTTCAAATTCATTTGTTTCAATTAAACTAAATTACTAGACTTAGTAAATTACTTCAATTAATTGTGAATCACAAGTTTCCTAATATAGTGAAATAAGTATTTTTTATTATATTCGATTATTCTTATATTTTTATAAGAGTTTGAAATTTTGTAAAAATTATGTTTGTAAAAATGACAATCAAAATGAAATGAAAGCAACTTTGCATACAACAAATGATAGTTGAATCTAATAGAAAAAAAAGACTATTCTTAAAGTTGCATTCAAAGCATCTCCGAAAATCTAATTTACTAAAAAAAAGTTTAAAATATATATCAAATATACAATAGAATCAAATATTTAATAAGTCTTATATTATAATAAATTTAATTATTACATAACATTACAATATTTAATAACTTAATAATTTAAATTATTAAGCATCAATTATTTTTGTTCCAATATTTAGGTTTCTTTTTTTTTAAACTGTCCTTCAAAATTCTGAAATGTGCCATTTATTTCATGAACGTAAAAATAAATTTTATTTCGTTAACTTATCTTTGCATATATTTTGTGTATCAATATAATAATGCACGATATCTATAATAGAACAAAAGAACGTACATTATACATATGTATATCCAAGAAAAATGTTATCTTTACATTTCGAAAATTCAAATGATCGTCATAAGATAAAAAATAATAATCAGTTGAAAAAAATAGTCCTTATTTTCTTTTTTACTGATATATAACATTACATGATATACCGAATTGGCAATTCTCATTTTTTCTTTTCTATTTTTTAAATAACTCAAATCAAAAATAAGGAGCGTGTTATTAGATCAATGTAACTATGAAACGGGCACAGTTATAAATAAAAGGGTATTGACTCAATTAGAATTGAATTCAAGAGTATGGGTCACGAGCAAGTCCATCAATTGATTATAGCAATAAAGTTCAATTAAGAAAATTGACAAATTTATTGGGCTATCGATGAAGAAAATTTCCAATTAAATAAGAAAGCGATTAATTTAATAGAAATTCACACAACTATAATATCATTTTACAAAATAATATTCTACAGTAAAACAGAACTATTTAATCTTGAAAATATTCAAAATGTTGAGTCGTACAAATGAAATATCTAACGTATTGAACATTTTATGTCCGACATTTGAAAATATACGAAATTTATGTTCTACATTTTTAATTTACGTTACTATATTCAACAAGGCAACGGCAAAAACAAGGCTGTTATGAAAATATTGTCATCTCATATTTGATGTTCAACAGTTAAAATATCCTTGAAGATAAGCGAGTTAAAATTTTCGCGTGTATTCGTGAAGTCGTTATATTTATTCTTCCTGACATTTTTCCTCTTTGAAACAATTTGTTTAAACAAAGTCGAAACAAAAATAGTGAATTCACCAAATACAAAGATGAATGTTACAATGGATTTTATTTTGAAAATTAGGTTTACAGTTGAAAAGTTTATCAATTAAATTTAAGAAATATATTCTAAATAAATTTAAGAATATATTTTTTAAGAAAATATTCAAAATTTTGGTATTTGGTGTGAAAACATTACTCTAATGTAAAACACACTGTGCTATTTTATGAAGTTAAATTTTACGATGTTTCAATCAGCATTTGTTACATAAAAAGGAGTTATTTAGTTCTCTTTCGTTTTATTGCTCTTGCATCAAATTACCAATACCAATTTCTAACAACCATAATTTATTCTGTAATGTTTACACTCATTATTTCAAAAATTTCATTACACTGCTCCAATTGCAACACTTATAAATTGGAACTGGACGAATCTGGATATCAAACATGTGCTTTGGACTATTAAAATTTAGAAAATAAAAAACAATTTATGTTATTAATCACTTAACTTTTATCGAATTGAAATTTGAAATTTATCTTCTTTAAATTCTCTCTTATTTATTTGTTTTTCTGTTATCTGTTCTTGTTACCTATTCTTAATTAATCAAAAAATTGTGCGATTTCGTTTTCAAGATGCTGCAATTTGTTTTTACGAACAATGTACTATTACTTTATCATATCATACTTTTTGAAGATTTCAATATTTAAATGTACAAAGAATTTTCAGTTGAAATAACATAGGTATATCAGAATAAATCTTCCGAAGAGGAAATTCGATTTAATATCAGTATAATTGAATCTATTCATCGTTGTTCAAGCTTAATTTATTCTGTCCAACGAAAATGAAAGCAATAAATCGAACATAAAAATCTCGCATATTTTCCGTTCAAATAATCTAATAACTAACATTTAATCCTGATAAAAAAAGAAAGGGGAAACTATAGCGATAACAACATTACTCGCTAAAAATCGAAAGAAATACGTGTATTACGTGGCCTGTCTTATCGATAATAAATTTTCCATTTCTTCGATTCGCTGCTCCTTACCACAAAACTACAGAAAAAGAATAAATCGATTTTCGTTCCTTGAATTT